AAACTATTTGTTGGACGTCTTTCATTGTAGAATCACGTTATCGGTGCATGGCATGTTTCGTCTTATATCAGTGGGTCAAGCACCACAGTTGACATGCAGCGCGTCCGAATTCACTTTTTACACGCGTTGTAAAGATTGCATGGGACCCACATTGAACGCATGATAAAACGGTACACACAGCATAACCGACTGTGACCCGTGTTCAACACCAACTAATACAAAAATCGAGGAAAGCACTATTTGAAGAGACTAGTAAGCATATTATAAACTTAACGAATATGAGTGACTACAACAATTTTTTTAAATTAATGGGTGATACAAACCTGAATGTACAAATACCTGCTGCCCAATTTATCAAAATAACACGAACGTTAGACAGCAACATCTCCTGGTAAATTAACATAAATACTTTTCTCCTTTAATACGTTTTTCTCTCTCATTTCCATCTTTCATTGATTTACTGTTTATTGCTTTTTTTTTATTATTATTTCATCTATTTTTTTTTTCAATATTATTACCTACATATATCAATAGTTTTTTTGTAATTGTAGTTGTTTTTTTTTAAAACCATTGTCGTGCGTCGCCCAGGAAGGGCTATGCTGCTCTGTTATCAACTCCGCGTTTCCTAGGCCAAAAATAATAGATAACATTATACGTTAAATACTTTCCTTCCATGTTGTTTCCCATTGATGAATTTATCGGTATGGACTCCTACTTTTCTCATTAGTATGTCAGTGCAAACGAATACCTCATGCGAATAACTAATGGCAATATTGCTCTGTTATAGCCACGCTCACTAATTGACTTGCTGAGTGATGGCAAACCTCTGTGAAGCACAGTCTGCAATTCACAACTTTAAAACATAGATCATTAAGTGCGTACTTCAACCCCGGCATGATGAATGGAGTGCGCGTTTCGTCGCGTCAGCTGGAACCTGCATTACACGCTTGACAAATAACAAAACTGACATCACATCAAGGCTTAGTCCTTTTTTTCATTCGAACTCGTACACAGAATTCTGAACTGAACACCAGTCATTAAACGTGCTTGTCATAATCGGTCAGTGAACACGCCCAATCACATTTCAATATCTAGGACTCAAAGTCTGAGAAGGTGCACGATTACTCGAACAATGAACTCAGTAGAAACAGAGGTTGTATATGTGTGTGTTTCTCCGTACAGCGACAAACATAATTCGCCTATAGTTAGAACACATGGACAACAATGACGTGCCCTATGTGGGAAATAAGTTCGTGTATTAATAAATCAATGTGTTGGCACCCATCGAGATTTCAAGTGCTCAAGTTGTACGAATTATTTACAATCTAAATTGAGGCAACACAACGTTTTCAGGCAGCGAAGGTAAAACATGCGAAATCAGAATGAGTTGGGTACTCGTCTCATTGAATTATATCACAGTCTCTCAGTTGAGGTACTGTGACTATATGTAGTAGCCCCAGAGTAGAGTGGAAACGTAGCGTCGCACTGGGGCCCTGCAGAGGTAAGGATGATAACGACCGACTTGGCTAATATGTATACGTACGCGTGTTTTACGTGCGCAAGATTGACCTTTATGGCCTTATTAAGTACTTCAAAGACCAGTCACTGTTCTGCGTAAACAAACATTGATATCTGCTGTACCAGGTATAGACAGTGTCAATTATGATATTTCTGCTTTGCCTATTAGTCATCTTTGTTTGACGTGCCATCTATGAAGCGCATGTCTGAAACCCAAATGTAGCTGTGGAGTCATAGCCCCCTGAGGGCCGTTTTTGGTCGTCGGTATCTGGCTGGCCCATATTTGACTTACAATACAAAATTTGAAAATAAGACGGCCAAGTAATGAAGAAAAAGGTAAAACAGTTGCCAGTCGCAAGATAGAGCTACGGATCCGCAGCTAACCCAAATGAAGATACTAAACGACCACGAAACCAGTGGCAACAGCGTGTGTAATAAAGTATTTGTTCATGTTATGATGAAGAAAGGTTAGGTTCTTTTCTTTAATTGATCCGGCGAATTTGGTTGTTCATATTTCGATCAATAATTTCGAGGTCGCTCTTACATTTACCACGCACACCTCTTGGGTGGTTTCGCTCATATTTGTAAATTTCATTACATTATGTTTCGATTGGCTAATTGCGTTTTTTTTTGTCACCGCTGATATTTATTTGTACTTTCTTCTCCAAAACTGTTAAACACATAACATGTACTGTGATTTAGTGGATATTTGCCTACATATATACAGCATATTTATCAATATCGTATGTGTGATCATTGTACAAAGAGCGACATGACACAAAATAAGTATTGGACGCCTTCCCATATCTTAACACTTTACCTCACGTGCGGTAATTTAAAAGTCATTTTGTTCAGTAATACATGAATTGAAAATTATGAAAACGAAAAATATTGACAAAAACGCAGTTCTTGTTCCCTTAAAGGGCAGTGTAGTCGCGCCGAGCATGTGCAAGATATGGATCTCATATGAACAGAGATGGCGACTTTGACTGTTGCGCGGATCAACGAGCACACACTTTAATTGGGTATTTTTAGGTGAATGTAAGGTATTGAAGGAGTCATTAGCGGTAATAAGTGCAAGTCACACCCAGGCCAAAACTCATACTTGTGATTTCCATCAGAAAAGCTTATTGGATTGCGGGAAAAATCAATGTTTATCAACACGAATATCGCACAAGCGCGGCGCGATGACCACCACCCTTTAAAGATAGACAGCCCAGCCACTTCAACCCTTATAACGATTTTCTTTCTAAACAAGCACACAGTCTAACATATCTATAAACTAGGGGATATACTAGTAATCATAGGTATTTGCAGGTGAGAATGAAGGTAAATTTGATTATCTGCCAGAAAATATAAGGCAGAAACTAAAATTGCACAGAGCATGTTGGGTAAAGTGTAGGGAAGGCCAAGAAGCTCCAAGACTCCCACTGAATTAATTTCCAGTAAGGAGCTGCTTGTTTGCATCAATGTAACAAAATTTGTTTGCAAAATCAAACAAGGCAAATCTTAGGCGTGCGAGTGTGCTTGTATTTATTATATTTATGTCTCGGAATTAGTAAATGATTTGTAGATGGGAAAATTATGTTGTGTTGACCTTGCCCAGTAATTCAAATTGAATTAAAGCGCGGTGGTCGTCGCGTAGCGCGTGTTCGAATTTCATGTAAACAAACAATGTATTTTATACGTCGCTATGAACAGGACGCGGCGCGAAGACCACTGCCCTTTGAAGCAGCAGTATATAAGTAGATAACACCACGGGAGAGTTGTTTTGGGCTACGCCCTCGCAACACCCCTCTGCCCCATGGTGTTTCCTATACTTACTCAGTATGACAATTTTAAAATTTAACGAATAAGTGGAAGAAAGGGTCGAAAATGAATAAATGTGCACAGCGATTTTAACTTTTTATGGTACCTGAAAGTTCATCATGGAACATTTCGAATACTAATGTAATTTCGCATTGTCCTGTTTCAGTTCCATAGTTACACTGACACCCTTTAGGAAGGTCTTCGTTGAGCAAATATCGTGTTAGTTCAGAGATAGATTATTATGGTACGCCAGCCTCAACCGAGATTTCGAAATGTGACCTTCAGTTGAGTCCGATAACAAGCAAATGACGTCACCTTAGTTTAATTTTCCATGAACTATTAGTCACACAAAACGGAGAAAATGTGACTGTATCGTGCGATGTACGTGTCACAAGGCTTAACACGCCACTACTATACATCCGAACTTCGGTGTCACCGTAGGGCATCAGATTGGTGTTTAGTGTACGGGGCAGAGACCGGGTGAGGGAAGAGCCAGAAATAAATCCTCGATGTCCTGTGATGATGTCCTATGGTGTTAGTTACTTATATACTGGCTAATTTAATTTAATTTAATTTAATTTGTAGTACTGGGCGAGGTTAACATAATTTCCATATCACCCATCTGTTGTCACTGAGCAGTCTGAAGCCAGGACCACACCTCCACACGACTTCCATGCTTAAAATAATCCTACCTTCTCAACCACATACTTGAATGGCGGCAGTCGTCGTGCCGCGTCCTGTTCGATATGAGACTCATAGCGACGTATGCAACGCCTGTAAAATACATTGTTTATTTACATGAAATTCGAGCACGCACTGCGCGACGACCACCGCGCTTTAAAACTTTCAGGCCAGCCGCTTTTAAGTTAGCAGTGACAATTATGACCAATAACAAGGTGACTTGTTTTTTATCAATGTAAGAAATCACAAGCTACAAAGCGGTATCTGATTGGCTACTCGCGCTGTCGACCGCTTAGCGGCCGATATGTCAAGTAATTGCTTGTAAAAGGGGAAACGTCGATATTTATAAAAAGGTACTTTAATTTTTAATAAGTTAATCATCTCTCTACAAATCATAAAAGCGTAATAACATGACATTACATAGCATTACATTTGTGAGTCAATAAGGAAACTTGAATATGCCCACAATGTAAAATGGACAAAGCCCCCTAACTCAGTGTCAATTTTAGAGACCCGCTCAAATTTGTATTCTGCAGGTAATTTCTTCATTGCCCACCCGTAACGTCAAAATTTGGTTGCGTAAAAAATGGTCAGAGATGGTAATTCACAGTTGTGCAAAGTGGGAAAGAAACTGACCTACATTAACTGACTGTCACGTGTGCAGGTTAACACACTCTGGTTTGAGCTTAGTTCGGTGTTCAGTTTGAGCGTACCACAATTACAGTTCTACCATCATATTTGGGAGGATCAGAACAAAATCACAGAAGTACAGACTTAAACTTAAAAATAATGTATACTATTACGTAATAAATAGATAATAGTCTGCCAACTAGGTGCAGCAGTGCGATCTTTTTTTTTATCCGAATTGCATGCAATTATAGTAAATAATACCGCAATCGGCAACTTACGCATAATATTTAATCGTTCTAATGACTTGACCGCGGATGACTTGGTCGAAGTCTGCAATACGAGCGAGCAGTTTAATGTTGCACGAAATCTGCAGAGATAATGATCACCACTGTCGACCTTGTGTTGCAAACAGCTCTTCTACGGCAATGATTGCATTATTGAACTAAAACGTGATAAATACAAAACAGTACACCAGATTCGTTTTATGACTTTTCTAACAACAGTTTGTCTGCGTCGTCTACGTAGTCACGGTAACCATTACTATCTATTTTTGAGTCTGAGGGTTTTGTGCATACCATTTCCAATGATGTGACCTGCCGATACTGACGGCGCCACCGACTCCCGAAGCAAGCGTACACAATGCCGTAAGTACTGCCCGTGATCACGATATTTAGAAGCATGTGCCAGCAGAACGCCATTGTCAGGAACATCACGGTATGTTGGTCTTCCCTCGGCCAAGGAATACCGGAAACCGGCTTGTAAATTATGTATGCCATATGAATAAACCAAGTCGCCTGTTGTAATACACAGCCTGTTCGGATAAACCTGAGAAGCCACACTTTTGGGTTCCAGATCTCCGCAGCGCTCGCCGTGGCGCAGCCAAGCGTTGCAATGGTAACCAAGAGATGCGTTGTGTTCTCTAACGTACTCTTCCCGTGGCGATGATTGAGCAACAGGTGTGCCTCGACACCGAACGCAAGGGTCACGAACAGACTCTCCAACATCCCAGCTCGGCGCTCAAGTATTTTCTGACTGATGATGTCCATCAAACCACTCAGTGCGAAAAATGTATACATGGTAAAATGTTGCCAGTTATTCGGGTACTGGAGTACGCCGTCTCTGAACATCGCGAAGTCGTTTACAACAGGCGGATGAAGAAACTCCGCTAAGCCAGCGCCGAACCCGTAGAAAAGTTTCATCACTGCCTCCCACGGCACAGCCTTAAACGCGCTCATCAATTTCCCGTTACTCTGGAAGTGGCCTTTTTGTCTATCCTTGCCATATTTTTCCTGTTGTAACGCATACGCATATTTGATAGACCAGAGTATTCCGAAACTTAAAAAAGCAGTCCAGGAGAAACGTGTCCTACAAACGAGCCCATATTTTTTGTGATGACTAGTTTAATGAGGCGGGTTATAGTGCCACGAGGCTACAAGAAGCAGAACTAATAATGTGTGCTCCCGGGTGACGATAATCTAACTCGGCTAGGCGTGTTTATCTGATAATGCAAACATAAGTTGTATCTAGGCGCGGGGTCAGGTTCAGTCTATTGTAATTTGATTGTGCTTGCCATCTGCTCTATTAAAAATGAAATGGCGGACTAATACATCGGCTGTGAGGTGATTACTACCCGAAATGCAACCCGTGAGCACTACGCGCTATATGTATGAGTCATTTCCATCACCGTGACGTTAATGATGCTGACATGACAGTACGCGCGCACTATGTGTGGTAGAGTGTACCTTTAATACATCGTTTCGCAATAGGTTTAATTCCATGTTCAATTAAATCAGTAAATATAGTGGCGTTATATACACAAGTACTGGCCATGAGGGGCGATCACACGTTAATTTTCACAGCCTGTGGCGTGGATACCAACAACACATTGAATTTTGCTGATGTTATTTTAAAGTATGTAGTGTTTTATATATGTAGATAGACATTCCAAACGACAATATCGTGCACCACGAAGTCGCATAACACGTGGGTTCGTCGTGCGCTAAACCACACCCATCCATGTAGATATCAAAGTTCATCTCAATAGTT